TCTGCTCGCTTGCCACCTATTAAGTAGGAGCCCTGGTGGTGCAGTGGTTAAGCGCTCGGCTGTTAACTGAGAGGTGAGGTCGGCAGTTGGAAACCATGTATTAAATGCCACATTAAAGTGCACGCCTGCAGTAGCATAAAGATTAGGTCACTGGTAATCAGCTTCCCTGATACGGCTCTGAGATGGAGATGCTCCATTGTCCTCTGCAATAACATCAAATGGTTCCACCAGATAAAAATCTAGTCCCCCAGTTTAAGAAACTATGGAATACATACATGGTAAAATAATATGCAGTCATCCAAAAGAAAGAAAGAATGAGATAGGTCTATATGCTGTGATATGAAAAGAAATCTATGATCTGGTATTATATATATTTCCCAAGAAACATCTATAATCCTATATATGAACCCATTTTTTTATGTGTGTTCATACATAGGTATAGGTATGTGTGTATGTGCACATATACATGCAGGAGTCCCTATATGGTGTAAATGGTTAAAGGCTCAACTACTAACCAGAAAGTTGGTGGTTTGAACCCATCCAGAGGCACCTCAGAAGAAAAGCCTGATGATGTCCTTCCAAAAGATCACTGCCTTGAAAACTCTATGGAGCGCAGTTCTACTCTAAACACAAGGTTGCCATGAATCGGAATCGACTCAGTGGCGACTGGTTTGTTTTTTTGGTTTTTAAACAGACACACACACACACACACACACATACACACATACCCCAAAAGTATATTTCACATACCTTTATAATTCTTTTTAAATAGTAGAAGCAGTTTCATTTTAAAAAACAATAAAAAATAAAAATAAAGAAGGTAATTTAAAAATATTTCAGGTTTCAATTCTTTTGTGATAGAAATCTGATCTAAGTTAGTCAACAGATACGCGCATAAGTGACTTTTTAGTATCATCAGAATGAAAATATCACCTTAGTTTGCTAATGACGCCATAACAAAAATACTGCAAGTAGGTGGCTTTAAAGAAGAGAAATTTGTCTCACAGTTTTGGAGGCTAGGAATCCAAATTCAGGGCATTGACAGGGCTATGCTCTGCCCCCTTTAGGAGATCATTTCTTGTGTCTTTCAGCTTCTGACAGTTCCAGGCATTTCTTGACATTCCTTGACTTGTAGAGGGATCCTCACATGGCATCTTCCCTCTGTGTGTTTGACTTTTGTGTCTGTTTCTCTTTATATAAGACACCACTCAGAAGGGATTAGGTTTAGGATCCACCCTACTCCAGTATGACCTCAGCATAACGAAAGAAAAATTATATTTCCAAACTGGGTCACATTCACAGGTATAAGAGTTAAGATTTCAACAAATCTTTTCAGGGGACACACTTTAATCCATAACACCGAGGGAGAATATGTAAAGGGATGTAAAATGGATGGGCTGAGAGAGCAGGTATGGGCAACTAAGGAGTGAACTAGGTTTTATTGAACGTATATAATTTGGGGTTCCTCTTCAAGGAAAATAATAAAAATTTATTAAAATAAATTAGGTATACTAGCAATGATAAATTAATTACAATAAGTTACAGATGGAAAAATGATGATAAATACCATTGACATCACAAAATACAGGAAAATTGCATAAATAATATTTAGAAATAGTGACTGCCTGACCCACCATTAAATACCCTCACCCCCTTTTAATTTGCATGCATATTCTTATTGCATTTTTATATAAAAAACTTGTAATATTATTTTCCACAAGGAGAAAAGAAAGATAATATTGTCTTTCCTAAAGGATTTTTCTCCTCCACTACCCACATTTGTCTAGTTCTGGGGCTGTAGACCCTCATGTCATGGCAGCAGGTGAGTTGGTCAGTGGGATATCTGGCAATAACCTCACTAATATGACATGGCTATGAACCATATGAATAGGACCCACTAAGTATGAAGTAAACATACCGTCAACTCAACTTTCCTTTAGCCAGATTCCAAAAATGCCAGTAGAAAATCCAATACCACTGAATATAATGGTGAGTGTGATTGGAAAGTTGGAATGGAAAGAGATTGTTGCCTTAACCTTTGTGTTTAAAATATTTTACTTTTTCAAATTTTGCAAAAAAAATGACCATGTGAGCCCTTAGCTGAGACCCCTTCCTGGACCTTAGAAGGGGTTCATGTTAGTGAGGTATCTTGAAGCTTAATTAAACTTCACCAGTTGCACAGTAAATCTGCCTCTGTGTCAGCTAGAGGAGGCGATATCTATAAAGGAGACAGAAAAAGAGTGATCAGAGGGGTGGGAAAAAAATCAAGGAAGTGAGGTATTCTAGAAATCAAGAAAAGTAAGTTTTTACAAAAGGGCATGCGAAACCATGTCAAATCCTGTTGAGTAGTATGAAAAAGAAAAATAATCACTAGATTTGATAATATGGAAGTCATTGCTGGCTTTGACAAAGGCCATTTAAGTGGAGTAGTAGAGGTGAAAATAAGATTAGAGATAGTTATGAGATGCATGGATAGAGAGAAAGAAGAAACAGAAATTGACTTAGTTACTTTTAAGCCAAGACTCCCTTTCCATGTTTTGGATAACTTTGATTATGTCACCAAAGGGGGTAACTTCTTGGCGTCCTCATTCTACCCTGTATGTATCTCACTATGGACTTTGTCACCATGCTACAATGATCTCTTCACATGCTTTGCCCCTTTATACTGTGACCTCTTTATGATTGGGGACAATAACTTTTCATTTTTATAACCCCGATGACTACTACATGGAAGGTGCTGAGTAAATATTTGTTGAATGAATGAATGCCTTTCAGATAAAATTTAGTCTAGTTCTTGGTCTCTAAGAGTTTTGTATGTCCATTCTACTTGAAAAAAAAAAAAAGGTTACTCTTTTAAAAGAGAAATAAATAGGATATCACATCTTTGGTTATTTTTATCCCAGGTGATGTAAAGAGAAAAGAAAAGGAATAAATATACAATCCTAAGAAATTCAATATAATTCAATTTAACTAACAGTTATTGATCATTTAATACTTCCTAGAACCTAAGGACTGAAAGATATTGCCCAGACTAAAAATGGAAAAAATTAATATAATTTGGTAAACAATAAGATAGGTAATATTTAAAATATAGGAAAAGGGTTTCTAAACCAGTCAGGGTTTAGACTGCCTGGGAGAGATGCCCCCTCAGTTGCATTTTTCTAAGAAGGCAGGAAATATCCAGGTGAAGAAAGTAGAAATTTTATTCCAGGCAAACTGTACATGTGTCTCAGGAACACAAGTAATTTGATAACATGAGAGGCAAAAATAGCAGGATGAATCTGAAAAAGTCACAGGGGCCAGATTGTAAACAAGACTGCAAGGGATGCAAAGAAACTTAAGCATTAGTCTGAGATGATAGGAAGCTCCTGAAGTGTTTAAACACATCAGAATTGAATGGGAAGCAGGAGTTTGGCTTCCAAGTCTCTTGAAAATTAATATATGTCTAGTCATTCACTAGAGACCTTGCTACATATTTCCTTTTCCCAAGAAATGAAAAGATTCTTTGCTTCCTTTTTAGGACTTACCCTGTCCAGATAACCCCTGCCATGCACTGCCCCACCGTCCTGAGAAGTTCTGGAAGTAAATCTCACCGCAGCTGCAGTACAGTCACAGTGTATCTGCTGACTACGCGGGAGTGAAAACAAATAGCAGCCATGTGCTGGCCACACATTCCAATGGGGATCCTGCCATCTGTCTTTGTGTTCATACAGCCATTCAGATTTCCAGTTCATACCAGCTCGAAGACACTGCCAAGCAGAACTTTGAACGGTTGGAACAGAGAGAGAGAGAGAGTTCATGGATAGCATTGAGCTTTGCAAAGGTTTTAACACACTCACCCAGGAAGAAACACTGTTAGGGTAACATTATAGTAATATTAATGATAATGGTGATCATTTTACACAAGTGGAGTTGGTGGTAGTGGAGCTAGCAGTACAGAAAGGGCTCAGTGCCTGACTATTTTACAAAGCCATACTTGTTGAATGTTAGGTGAGGTCAAAACATGTTTCTTGATCGCCACACACCTGTTTTCAACGGCTTTTACAATAACTTATTTAATCCTTCCTCCAGTACTGTACCAAAAGGTCAGCAGTTCAAAGCCACCTGCCACTCCTTGGAAACCCTATGGGGCAGTTCTACTCTGTCCTATAGAGTCGCTATGAGTAGGAATTGACTTGATGGCAATGGGTTCAGTTTGGTTCAGTGCTGTGAGGTAGGTATTTGATTATTTCCCCCTTTCATAGATAAGGAATAGATATCTAGAGAGGTCAAGTACCTTACTTACGGTCAAAGATAATGAATGAGCCAGGTCTGGAACCCACCTCTACCTGACTCTAGGGCCAAGCTGTTCCCCAGCCCACCAGGCTGCCTTCTGATGGGGTGCTGCTTAAGTAACAAAAGATATTCATGTTAACAATACCTTCCCTTAAGCACTTGTTTTTGCTGTTATTTTTTTCAAGGCAGGAAGCGGAAGTTCCAGACCGTTTATAATACAGGCAGTCCCCGGATTACAAACGACTTCTATTCCTAAATCTGTCTTTAAGTCGAATTTGTATGTAAATCGGAAGAGTTAGATACAGTTCATCTCTAACGTCAGTTAGTCAAATGTTTGTCTTAGTATATAGTATATAGTCTACCTTTCTATGCATAAAAAACATTAAAGAAACACTTCCAGATACACTAAAATACCTGTACCATAATAATACAGTAATAATAATAATAATGTTTTGTTGCACATTGCAAAGTAGCACCCATTTGTTATTTCGAACCACTGTATGTACCTAGAATTTTTAATATAATAGGCTTTACGAGGGATGGTCCATAACTACGTGTTATACGTTAAGTCAGATGTTTGTAACTTGGGGACTGGGACTAGAAGAAGATTCCTTTCTAAAGACAACAAAAACGATAATGACTATCCTATATTTCTACAGGGAATAATACTTAGTTTAGAATACATTTAGCTTAGCATAATTACACATAGCTATAAATTTTATAGTGCCTGTGTGGTGCAAATGGTTAGCACGTTCGGCTGCTAAACAAAAGGTTGGAGGTTCAAGTCCACCCAGAGGCACCTTGGAAGAAAGGCCTTGCCATCTACTTCTGAAAAGTCAGCCACTGAAAACCCTATGGAGCACAGTTCTACTGTGACACATATGGGGTAGTCATGAGTCAAAATCAACTCGATAGCAACTGGTACTGGTTATAAACATTATACGATGGTATAATACTGACTTCCAGTGTGAAGCAACTGCAATTAACTCTTAGCTGGTGTATTCTGGTCCAGTATGTGAACAAACCACTTTTCTAAGCACTGTCCAAATTCTATTACTCCTCTTCAGTGGACCCCTCACAGTTTTGCACTCTCTTTGGTTTTTACCTGTCTAAGGGCATAAAAGGGGCTTAAGAACAAAACTCTTTCCAAACTTGGTCTTGAATTGTTCCCTAACAATGTTACCTCCAATGTGGTTTACAAAATGCCAGCATCTGCTTTCCTAGCAGAGTCAGAAATGGCTTTTCTCTGTATGTAATCAGACTGTTGTGTTTGTCTGTGTTCTCAGGGCTCCTCAACATTCTCTTCCTATGGGAAGGAGAGGGGGAGGGCTTGTCGAACTCTACTGCTGGAAGGAAAGCCTCCTTTGTTGGGATCTGAACTGAAACAAATCTCTCTCTGCACAGTATCAGAAGACTTCCCTGTGCCACCATCAAATATCCCCCTGGAAACAATAGCTCATGGTGTGTGTTTGTTTAATCACTTAATGCTCACTAGAATTTATGCTACAATGCTTTACCTCTAATCAGAGCTTCAAACTGGTTCATTCTGGTTCAAATCTCTGCTGAGAATTTCCATTCCTAACAAGTTCCCTGCTGAGAATTTGCTTTCCCACCCCAGATATACTGAATCAGAATCTACATTTTAACAAGATCCCCAGGTGATTCTTATGTATAACTTCCTGGGAACTTGTTAGAAATGCAAATTCTCAGCAAGGGTTCAAACCTGAACAGACTGGTTCGAAGCCCTACCTCTAATCACAGTTTCTAATTGTGCTCGCCGTTATTACCTTCGACAATGAAAACTAAACATTCAGGTCTCTCTTTCCTGAAGATTCAGATACTTGGAATTCTCATACTAAGGCGTGGTGTTAAACCCTTTGTTTGTTCTCACAGTTGTTCTTTCTCTAACTGTTGGGGAAAAGAGGACAGAATGGCAGATGGGCTACTGAGCCCATAACAATGCTGTTTTAAATTCTTATTGCTTCTATTTCACACAAATTGGAAATTAATGAAAACATTTAAACATATAATGTGTGAGATTACATAAACCTTGGGAAAAACTTCTCCATGAGTAAAGTGGAAAATATCATACAAAGAAAATTAGAGTCTCAAGACCCTTGGTAGAAGCTGAGAGCACAAACGTCTCTATACAATCAAGCTATACGTTAGCCATAGCTCCCCACTACCACAACAGAGTCCTAAAAATTTCCTTTACTGAATGAGATGTTTTTCTAGATTGCTGAATTCATGAATCTTAGAAAGCTAGAGTTTTTAAGATGCCAAGTTTGAAGTTTTAAGATGCCAAGCATATATCTTGTCAACCGTTCTTTCTGAATATAAAACTTTGCAAATGATTGTGCATGTCAGTGTGTTTATGTGTGTGTGCATGTGCGTGAGTGTACGTGAATGTATGTATGCACTTGCTGCAAAGCTGCCAATTCTCATTCTTTCAGAATGGGACGCTTCCATTTATTGTCTCAATTTCAATCAGCCTGGGGCCTAAAATAAAGAGAGTCACAATTGATTCCAGTTGGATATTTAGAAACTCATTCAGTCTCTTTCTGAGTCAATTAGATGATCACAAGTTGGCAGCTCAGTAAATTTCCTGCTGGGAACTAGATTGCAAGAGGGGGAAAAAAAAACCAATAACAAATAAAGTATTATGTGCAATTGTCCATCAAGAATTAAGAGTCCTGGATAAGATCATAATTGAAACACCTGTTCTCATACTTGCTGCAGCCCATTTGGAGTACCAAGATGAGGGAAATATATTCATACTACATCCATAGATTTCTTTGCCTTTTATAAAGAAAGTAGATATGGGTGGTAGCAGTGTTTGTATCAGAGTAGTCATTACTTCATGAGGCACATGGTAACATTGATTTAATCTGAAGCAAACAATGGTTTGAGCTACCTTTCTTGCTCTTACTCCACTTTGAGGTGAGTAAAAGATGCTATATAAAGTTTTGAAGATATCCAGAAGTGTTGTCAAACAAAAGGAAATCTGCCATATTTGATAACCAAACAAGAGAATGACCTCAAACTAATTTCATATGATCTCATTATCTTCCCAACCATGGCCCTGGCTGCAGGAATAATGCTGCCCTGCCTCTTATCCTCTTATAGAACTAAAAATAAAATACCTATACACAGAACAGTTTGAAGATAATTCATTCAATAGCTACTAAAAATGTTATGTTTTCAATCAGGTTATTATTTAATTAAAAAAATAGATTATTTAATGCAGGGGTCAGCTAATTTTTTCTGTAAGGGGCTAGATATTTTTAGACTTAGCAGTCTCTGTTGTAACTACTCCATTCTACCACTGTATCATGAAAGCAGCTAGAGACATGTAACAGATGAATGTGGCTATGTTCCAGTAAAACTTTACTTACAGATGCTAAAATTTGAATTTAATGTAATTTTCATATGTAATCTTTTTCTTTTGATTTTTTTTAAATATAAAAACCATGCTTAGTTCACACGTCATACAAAAATAGGCAATGGGTCAGATTTGGCGTATGGGTTATAGTTTCACATCCACTAATCTAAAGAAATAACACTGATTTCGAATATGTCTCACTAAATATCAAAGATTTGCAACGAACTACTAATCTAAAGGCTGGCAGTTTGAATCCACCTAGCGGCACCATGGAAGAATGGCCTAGTGATCTGCTTCCATAAAGATTACAGCCAAGAAAACGCTATTGAGCAGTTCTACTTTGTAACGCAAGGGGTCGCCAGGAGTCAGAATCAACTCGATGACAAGGGATTTTTTTGTTTGTTTTTGTACTGCCTAAGTCTCAGTTCTTGTGATGTATTGCGTTGGGCAAATCTACTACAAAAGATCTCTTTAAAGTGTTAAAAAGCAAAGATGTCATTCTGAGGATTAAGGTGCGCCTGACCCAAGCTACAGTATTTTCAATAGCTTCATATGGATGCAAAAGCTAGACAGTAAGTAAGAAAGACCAAAGAAGAATTAATGCATTTGAATTATGGCATTGGCAAAGAATATTGAAGATACCACGGACTGCCAGAAGAATGAAAAAGTCTGTCTTGGAGCCAGAATGCTCCTTAGAAGCGAACATGGTGAGACTTGGTCTCATGTAGTTTGGACATGTTATCAGGAAGGACCAGTCCCTGGAGAACATCGTGCTTGGTAAAGTAGAGGGTCAGTGAAAAAGAGGAAGACCCTCAACAAGATGGATTGACAATGGCTGTAACAATGGGCTCAAGCATAGCAACGATTGTGAGGATGGAGCGGGACCTGGCAGCGTTTCATTCTGTTGTACATCGGGTTGCTATGAGTTGGAACCAACTAGATGACACCTAACAACAACAGAAACAAAGCTGAATTCTAAATGTCATTAGAAATAAAAGGCCATGGCAGTTAGAAAAAACAACATTGATTTGTGAGCCAAAAAGCACTAAAAATTCTATTCACTGTGTTACTCAAATCACATAATTTATTGACTATCTCCTTGTCCATGATTAAACGATCTAAAGAAGGAAATTAACACCTCGATTATTTGACAAGGTCGAGAAGAGATATGCCCTGACTAATGAAATACTTTAATCAACTAAAGTTGTCCCATTCATGCAGGAAGTCACAGTTTGAGATACAGGGTCATGTGGAGGTCTCCTGAACATGAGAAGAAATATGTCACCAGTCACAAACCTTCCATCTAGAAAACTGATTACTGATCATTTTTCTAACAACTTTAAGAAAGACTCAATTTAATAACTAAGAGGCTAAACTTAAAGAGGAAAAAAAATAAATCTGTTTCAAAATTTCTCTCCAAACATGTAGTTGGCAGAGGTTCCTGAAATTCACTGAAAGGAAATGATATTTTAATAATTGAATTTGATTTAAATGCAAAAAATTAAAGGCAATTCTAAAAAGTTATAGGGCATATCAGAAGAAGCGTTTAAATATTGCACAGTCTTCTTTAGAAAATGCTAATGTGTAAAGTCTCTGTCGTTAACAAACAAATCCAAAAAGTGACTTATTTTTTCCTTTAAATGGGAGAAGGAGATAATACTGTCCCCTCTCTCCCTCCTTAAAAAATCTAGTTCTATGTGTGGAAAAAAAAAAAAAAGAGAGAGAGAAACTTCTTTAATTACAGTAAATGAATGAGGAACAGACAGCCTCCACATTATAGTGGGCTTCCCTACTTCAGATGTGGTTTCAGCTAGCTCTATCCTGGGTGACCCTCAATGAAATGGATTGACACAGAGGCAGCAACAATGGGTTCATCCATAATAACCATTGTGAGGATGGCACAGGACCGGGCAGTGTTTCATTCTATCGTACATAGGTTGAGTTGGAACTGACTCAACAGCACCTAACAACAAAAACGTCCTGGGTGAAAAGGAGCCCTGGTGGCACAGTGGTTAAGTGTCAGGCTGCTACCCAAGAGGTCAGCAGTTCAAACCCACCAGCTGCTACATGGGAGAAAGATGTGGCAGTCTGCTTCCACGAATATTACAGCCTTGGAAACCCTATGTGGCAGTTCTACTCTGTCCTATAGGGTTGTTATGAGTTGGAATCGACTCAACAGCAAAAGGGTTTTATCCTGGGTGAAGAGTTAGTGGGTGGTACAAATGGTTAACGCCTGCTGACTGCTAACCAGAAATTGGAAGTTCAAGTCTACTCAGAAGTACCTTGGAAGAAAGTTCTGGTGATCTACTTCAGAAAAATCAGCCATTGAAAACCCTGTGGAATACTGTTCTACCAGTTCTGCTCTGATACACAGGAGGTCTCCATGAGTCAGAATCAACTCTACTAGAGATCAACTG